TGTTATTGAGATAAATTATTCCCTATGAAAAAATGTTGAAAATGCAGGTATTTTCATTTTCATGAATATATTTAATTATACATGGATGAAAAATGATAAACACTAAGTATCTCCTGCTCAATTTATTATATGTTAATTTTGAATACAATTGACCCTTGAACAGCACAGGTTTGAATTGTGTGGGTCCACTTATACACTTTTTTTTCCAATACAGTAGAGTAGCGTAAATGTATTATGATTTTCTTAGTAACATTCTTTTTTCTAGCTTACTTTATTGTAAGAATATAGTATATAAAACATACCACATAGAAAATATGTTAATTGACTATGTTATCAACTGCCAGTAGGCTATCAGCAGTTGAGTTTTGGGAGAGCCCTTATACTTGGATGTTTGCGTGACGGGGGGTCAAGTGCCCTCACCCCCACGTTGTTCAAGAGTCAACTGTATATTGTTATATGACTCTATGAAACTTTAATTTCACATCCATCTTATAGCCTTTCTTAACATTTGCTGCATCAAAACACTGCACTCTCAAAAGAACACATATTTTGGGGAAAGAGAAAACAATAAGAAATAGCTTTCCTTATCAGATAAAATAAAAATAAATGTAAAGGTTTTGTAACAGTTTTTAAGGAAAAGGTAGTTTCATATTATATTAGTCCAAGCAAGGCTCAAATGGATTAATATTCATCAGTAAATTAACAACTAGTCATTCATTTGTGATAGGTTTATAAAACATTATAGCCAAATAAAACTGATAGTTGTCTCTGCTTTTAGTCATTATTGCCTCGATATAAATGAATTCCATGAGTTAGCATGAGTTGAACAGATTTTACCTATCCTACTGGAGGCCTACCTTAAGCGACTACTTTTTATAGAAGGCCAGTCCTTCAGAAAGCAACATGATCTTAGCTAAGCTAATAATTGGCAAAGCCTCCCAGTTAAACGTGCTGTCCCCCCCGCCTCCTAGGAGCTCAGGCCCATCTGGCCTGGCATGCTGACAGACTACCCATTGTATTTCCAGAAATACTGATGAGCGTGTTCCACCACACTTTCTCCTGGGCACCGTCTGTCTTTATGACCAATGGCACATAGTGGCCTTGGCTGACACTGAGCGCCATGGGCAGAAGCATCGGGAGCTAACTAGCCCGTGCAGGAATGGAACCGGAATCCGATTAGCATCAGGCTTTAACCAGCAAAAACGACTAATGACAGACTGAACCCCACACCTGGGGCAGTTCTTTCCTTCCCTCTCTCCCCCTTCCCTGTTTTCATTTTCCTCCCCGCTCCCTCCCTTCCCTCCTCTCTGACAGTGGGAAACCGGGCTAAAAGATAAGCAGTTCACCGAGTCACACTTCTAGACTTGAGCCAACTGAACCAAGACAGCCTTTGGAAGAACTACAGGCTTTGTTCAAATAATGAAATACAGCAATGAGTTGCCCACGGTACTTCTAGAATAGCACACATACAATGTCAACAGAGGCTGAGGCATAGAGAAAACATGGTATTTTGGAAGTGGGGGGGACTTTGGAGATCATCCAGTATAATTTTCTCAATTTACAAATGAGGACACTAAGGCCCAGAGAAGTTCAGAATCACAAATATTTTAACCTGTAGTTAAAATACAGGTCTAGGAATTCCAAATCCAAAGTCGGTGTTCTTCTGGGGGTGGTGGGAGGTGGGCAAAGTGGGGGCAGGGGGTCAAAAGGTGGTGAGGGGTGTAACTAAATTCATTGTGGTGATCAGTTTACAATATATACAAATATCGAATCATGATGTTGTATGCCTGAAACTACTGTAATGTTATATGGCAGTCCTCAATAAAAAATCAATTCAGTGTTCTTCTGACCAAACAATGTGGCTTATTACATATCAATGATACTCCTGCAACTTATGATTAATATCATGCTTTAATGATTTAAGAATACAGCTTTTAAAATTTAGACTAAAATTTTGGAGAAAACCCCAAATAATTAGAATTTTTAAGAATGCCTATTGAATATGAAAGTTTATACCACATGACTGTTCAGGTCTAAATTTTACAAGTTTTGTATTTATAGGCATGACATATTGGTAAATTTACCTTCCAGAGAGCATATTCTGTATTTCAGAAAAAGCAAATACAAAAGTGGTACGTGCTGTGAAAACAACCTTTTTCAGATTAGTACCTGGTAAATAATCATGTAAATTTGATATGAGCTATTGGTATTTAGTCTAATATTGTGTCAAGACCATATGTTACCAGAGGCAAGCTCTTCAAATGCATAATTTATAACATAACCTCCATGACTACCTGAGAGACCTAGGTAGAATAATGAATTAATCCAGCAGAAATAGACCCTTGGAGGATGAAATGACATTTAGCTAAGGTCACAAGGGCAACTGGATTAGTAGTCTCAGGCTATTCCTCATAGACAGTTTGCCAGATGACACAAAAATCCAATATATCCCCTTAACTAAAAATAAATCTCCTCAAAATGTTTAGTTTGGAGGGGTGTGGGGGGATGGGTTAGCCCGGTGATGGGTATTAAAGAGGGCACGTTCTGCGTGGAGCACTGGGTGTTATACACAAACAATGAACCATGGAACACTCCATCAAAAACTAATGATGTAATAATGTATGGTGATTAACATAACATAATAAAATAAAATTTTAAAAAAATGTTTAGTTTGAATATCCAGGCATGGAAAGGCCTAGTGTTGCTTCAAATTTATACTGAGCAATATTAAAAAAGAACAGGTCCAACCACTGGTAGCAAAGGTAAGCTATCTGCATAAACACTGGGGTGGGGAGCAATGCAGAGCATCCAGGAGAAAAATGCCTAAGAGGTGATGGAGAAGTAAGAGAAGAAGAAATAAAAAAAAAGAGAAACATGGAGGAGGCAAGAACTAAAGAGATAAATAGCTAAAGAAGAAGAAAAGAAGGATAAAGAAAAGAAAGTTACAGAGAAGTGAAATGAAAAGAAAAAAAGAATAAAAAATGAAGAGACTTCCATTTATATGACTAATAGGTCATGGGATCTAGTGTACAGTGTGGTCACCATAGTTAACAACACTGGGTTGCATGTTTGAAAGTTGCTAAGAGAGTAGATTTTTTTTTTTTAAGATTTTATTTACTTATTTGATAGAGACAGACTGAGTACAAGTCGGGGTGGGGAGGGGCACAGGAAGAGGGAGAAGCAGAGTCCCCAGAGAGCAAGGAGCCTGACGTGAGACTCGACCCGGGACGCCGGGATCATGATCTGAGACGAAGGCAGATGCTTGACTGACTGAGCCACCCAGGCGCCCCACTAAGAGAGTAGATCTTAAAAGCTCTCATCAGAAGAAGAAAATGGAAAGAAAAATAAGGAGAGAAATTAAATGATGGGTGGAACAAGAAAGGAACTGAGGATGTAGAACAGGTGGGAAGGAAGCACTCAAATGATGGGGGTCCATTAGTACCATGTGCGGCTGGGACAGAGCAATGGTTTGTCCTGGGGCCTGAGTAGAACAATAAACATAAGATGAAGGACAAAGCCAGAAGAGATGCATATTGGATATGAGCTCACCCCCTAAATACTGTGTTGCCCAAGGTTTTCTCTTCATCCTTGACTTCCTTCTCCCTCTACAGTGACTCTGAGTGACCTCATCCAAACCCAGGGCTTCAGCTCAGCACAGGCCGATGACTTGGTCTGTGGAAAGTGTTATTCCGAGTCCGCACCGGCACATCCAACTGCCCAGTGGAAGTTTCCACTGAACTTCACAGGAACAGCGAACTGAAAAAATGCAATGCCTACCTCTCCCATCTTCACTCTCCACATATGTTCTACTTCCCACATTCCCCATTTTCTGAATGGTAACATCTCGACCAAGCTGCCCAAGACAGTAACTAGATTCTTTCTATGTTACTCTTTCTCCCTGGGCTTCTGCCTCCAAATGGCCACTAAAACTTACCTCCCAATATTTCTAAAGTCGCCCCCTCTTCATCCAACTGCTCCTCCTGACCTGAGTTCTCTTCCCTCCCTTCTGTGCTCAATCCTAATATCAGAGTGAGCTTTCTAAGATTAGAATGACATCCCATTACTACCTGCTTAAAGGCCATCAGTAGATCTTTGGACCAAGTCCAGCCTCCTTAGATGACAGACAAGACCTTCAAGACCTCACTCTGCTGAACTTTCCACCCTCACCTGCTAGCATCCATGACCTACTCCTACTCTGTAATTGTTTTTAAACAACAGAGAAAAGGATGAAGGTGGAGTATGATTACTGTTTGGGAAAAATTAAGCTATCACTATCTATATTTTTATGTTGATAATTGTTATATAAATTGAACACTGTACCATTAATAAGTTTTTACTCATTTCTACAACACAGAAGGCATTGTATATTCTTCAAGGGTGGGAGGCGAGGATCGCTTGTTATAGCCATATTGGGTTTTCTCCTCCCCCAAACCACCCCTCGACCAGACAGAGCAATCTGACAACATCCAGCGTGCTTTATTCTTGTCCTTAGTCATACCATGGGCTATGTTCCTGCAAGCCTGTTTTTCCAGAGTCTCTTTCTCATGGGCTGTTGTGCAGATTAAGCCCCTAGTATGGTGTCTGCCTGCACATAACAAGGGCTCAATAAATTTGGTCATCACCATTATCTTCATTATAATGAGAAGGGGAGAAGTCTTATTTCTCATGTCCTTGAGAACATCAAATGCGTTAATACATTAGTAATCAGCGCTAAAAACTTCCTGATTAGTAAATGTGTTTAAAGATTTTGCGGAGTTTTATGCACCAACGTGTGGGAAGACACGTCATCTTATGTGAACTTGGCATAGTCATACAACACCACAGTCATTCCTTTAAATTTTGTCCCATAACCTTGAATGCTAGATGAGGAAAAATATCAACAATCAGAGTCACAGGTGTGCCTTCAAAACCAATCAGTAACTTGAATATTTTCACACTCATGAAGCAACTTGGCAAACAATGGGACAGAACCGCATCTCTGGCAACAGCTAGGCGCTCACCTTTTCTTCATTACTAACACAACTCCAAGAAATATAATAACGAACAGCAAGATGCCAGCAATGACTCCAGCAATTTTGACTGTATGGTCTGTTTCCTTCTCGGGTTCTGGGACTGGTTTCGGGGTGGCAGCTCCTGAAAATGGAAGGAAATGAAAAAGGACAGACGGTGGGTAAGAGAATAAAGATGTTACATTTTTAAAAATTTTCCTGCATTTACCAGACTAAGAAGGCTTATCAGAGCCAGCAGACAGACGAGCTTTTGGTTTTTTTTTCCACAGCTTTCATATGCACCGAAAGGAGGGTAATTGTTCATATTGCTCTTCAATATTTTATGAAACCATAACATAAGTTGGATAGCACACCCATGCCTGAACCCTTTTCTAAGAGACTCTTCTCAGTTTTTTTTATATTTATTATCTCTATTGGCTCCCTGCTTTTTCTGCCATTTAAAAACTTGCTAATGACACAATAGCTATCCTAAGCCTTTATCCAAATTTGATTTGCTGGAACATTTTCCTCAATTATTTTTCATAAGTGAAGCAGTAATTCCATAACATATTAGCCCAAACACCTGGAAAAGTGAGATAAGCTCATTTACCATGCATTTTACTAGCAATTGTTTTTTAACACAATAGAGATTTTCCTCCTGCCTTTGGAAATCTAAATCTAGGTCACATCTGGTAGGCAAAAGACTCCTTCTAAGCAATTTACTCACAAAGTGGGAAGCAGCTGATGATCACACTACTGGCACCCACATTTAATATCTGTTTAAATGAGATAACCAGAGCCTTCCAGTGGCTACGTCTTAGCTCGCTTGCTTTTCTATTTCCAAAACACCGTTTGTCCTGTTTACGGTATAATGTGATGGAATGTCAAATCCATGTCTGATGAAATATCCATTTCCTCTGCTAAATGAGTTCAGGATGAAAAAATATTAGGAATGTAATGTTCAATTCGCTAAGCAGAATCCATTTTTTTAAGGGCGTCCACCCTTTTTAATCAGAACGTGACCGTGTTGAGCATCTGATCCATCATGCCACCACCCTCACGAGGGGTCAGGACAGATAATTCTGAAAGTAGAAATTTTATGTTCAAATTTCTCGCCTTAGAATTTTCTTGGTTTTGTTGGTAAAAAATGTAATTAAAATTGAATAATGAGGGGCACCTGGGTGGCTCAATTGTTAAGCATCTGCCTGCGGCTCAGGTCATGATCCCAGGGTCCTGGGATCGAGCCCCTCATCGGGCTCCCTGCTCGGCGGGAAGCCTGCTTCTCCCTCTCCCACTCCCCCTGCTTGTGTTCCCTCTCTCGCTGTCTCTCTCTCTGTCAAATAAACAAATAAAATCTTTAAAAAAAATTGAATATTGATACCAGCCCTTTCTACCCTTTCGTTGGGTTTTCCATTCACACTTCACCTGATTCTTGAAACAACTTAGCCATCCTTGTGTCTGGTGCATTCCAAACTGGGCTTATCCTTAGATGAATCAGTACAGGGAAACAGGGAGTGTCAAGCTCTCACTTTCCATCTGTTTCCACTGGAAACATATATAAACTACATTTCTTTCAAAAGTTATTCATGTTAAGATTTTATGTAAGATGCTGCCTCTTGAACCCAGCTATGGTCATCAAACTGATGAAGCTGGTTAAGACTGAGGAGACACACAAGGCGATAGATGACTTTCCATCTACACATGCGTTCCAATCAAAGTGACAATCATAATGAGAGCCATCATGATGTAAAAATCATACCTTATTAAATACAAAGCCTTCTGCATAACCTGTTTTAGGTCATTTTTATTTCTGATAACTTCAGGAGGATGTCCTGCTACTTTGTTTTAATGAATATCCCTCACACTAATTATCCAGATAAATCTTGAAATTGCTAATATTCACTATTTTTTAGTGTAATTACATCTTACATATACCACTCCAATATGCCACTGGAACATACAACCGAGTGGTGGATTTACAGAATGTTGATTCATTAAATAAATTGCTAAGAGAGATTTAAAGATAAAATGTGTGTTACAAAAGGATGAGAGTTTTTAAAAAATCCATATAAAAATAAACATTTAAAATTCACAAAAGTGAAAAAGGGGGCAATATTTTCCAATTTCGATTTCTTTTGTTCAATTAAAAAAACTTACCTTTAAAAAAATAAAATGAAATTGGTTTTATTCTTCCAAATGTTGGCATATTGGGAGCCATTCGATTGATCTCACCAGTTACTAGATTTCAAGTGGTCCAAACATATTTTCTAAATAACTGGTTCACTGAGTTTCCTTGTAACTAAATTAGGCCAGTAAGTACAACAGTTGGGAAAGAAATATAGACTTTACTTAGCCTAAAATACTGAAATATAAAAAACAACACGGACACAACTCAGACATCATAAACCCTCAGGAAGGGAGAATTTGTCTTGTTAATAGTCACGTTTGCTTCTATTAACTAAACAACTGGTTGTGTTTCACTTAGCCAAAATTTTGCCCAGGCTCCATGAGAACTGGTGAATACCCTACACATCTTTGCATCAGGAAAAGAGACCCCCTCGGAGCCTTTCATTCCCTTTGGGAAGAAGACAAATCCATTGTTATGCAGCCGGCATAAGCTCAGTATTATCATTCTTTAGCACTTACTTTTAACTCATTTCACATTGCAGGTCAAGAAAATGAAATGTTCTATCTCTGCAGGACACAGTTGCAATGTGATTATGGTGGCAATCGTGCAGAATGATTACGGTGGCAATCGTGCAGAATGGAAGAGCAGCTCAGAAAAGGAGAGGAGGGTTGCCCTGAGCTGGCGGCGAGCGACCCTCCTTTTGCCTGCCGTGGGGCAAGGCCACCAGACCACGGTGACAGCGCCAAGACGAAGGGGTTGATTGGAATGTCCGGGTTTAGGACTGATCCGGGAAGCAAGCATCAACGCAAACGCAAGTTGGGAGGGAATAAGTCACCCTGTTGAGCTAATTCAGGGAGGTAGGTGTGCGTCATTAATTCCAAGTTCACTCTGGGCACCTGCCATTCCTGCCTTTGTCTGCCTGCCCTGCCCCTCCAGCGTTTCCCGAAACAGGTATCTTTACGACCGCCTTCCACAGGATGCTCTTTTCTCCACTTTTGTTTTTTTGGAAACGTGGTTGTGAGCTGTCAGTCAGCCTGGGACAGACAATAATTTGTGACAGAATGTGGTTGCAACTGATAGCTTGTTGTTTTCTCCCCCCTCACCCAAATCTATGAATTTAACAGTATAATTTACAAACTCCTTCACAAAAGAGTTGTTTTCATAATATTTTCCCTTCTGTCTTGTTATTTTCTTGACAGGTTTCTAATGGTACGAACTTTTACTCCTTTTTTTTTGGTATAAATTCTAATTCTTTGGGGAAAGGCATTTTCCCCCCTTTTCTACTGTGCATTCTGTTTAGAGTTTACTGCATGTTTAGATCTTTTTAAAGGGAATACATTCAAATGTGTGCATTTAATAGGGGGCATTATCTAGGCTTGAACATATTCGTTAAAATGATGAATAAGCTAAATATTTCATAGATGGAGAGTGACAGGCTGCTGAAATTGTAGCATATAATCCTCACAGATGCCCCCTCTACTGATTCCTACTGATGGCTTTGGGTGTTTTGTTTTGTTTAATGGCCAAGAAGATCAAGAAGGGTGGTATTCCAGTGAACTTGCATTAGGTAAGGTTACAGATAAAACATCTCGTGTGAAAAATCTCAAAGGAAAGGGAATGATTTTATCCAATGCCTTACTTGGTTGGTTTTCAACTTAGCCGAAAACATGAGTCTTGGCCCAGTGTTTGATGTTAAATTATATAACAGCACACGCCAGGCCGAGAACATGATGTACTCAGCCACTGGTTTGAGGTTTGGGCCCAATTTTGACTACTGAACTGGCTGCAGAAATTTTTCCAGAAGACCCAAGGACGCAAGCCCAGAAGGCCACAAAAGGCATCACTGCTGCCTGGGGCCACTGACCATAGCGGCCCCAGCACCACGACTGCCTCGCCTTGAGAAAACAGGAAGCCTTCCTTTTTTCTTTTTGAATTTAATTTAATTTTATTATGTTATGTTAGTCACACAGGAAGCCTTCCTAACAGGAAAAGTGAACATTAGGAGTAGCCCAGGGGCAGTTTGGCAGCCCAGAATGTCCGAGTAATGGTGACTAGTGCTTGGCTTTCTCCTTGAATGTGGAAGAAAATCAGCAATATTCTTCATTTATTCAACAAGAACTAATCGAGTACCCCAGTGGTGCCATGCACTATTTTAGGAATACCACAGTGAACAAATAGATCTAATAAAAACCTTTGTCCTCATGGAAGTTCTATTCTTGTGGGGAAGGACAGACCCAGACGGAAACAAATGCTGTCAGCAGGATGTGAATCAGTGCTGGTCTTCGGGGTGGAATCTTCGAGTGGGGCAGGTGCTACGCAGCTCGGAGACACGGGATCGGAGAAGGAATCACTGAAAGAGGGAAGGGACAGAGCTCCACTGACACCCAGGGAGGAACATTCTAGGCAAAGGGAAGAAAAGATTAAAAGGTACAAGATGGGGCTGTGGAATACCGAGCTGGGCTTGCAGTGGACTGAGGCGGGGAAGCAGTGAGGCACAGTGTCAGAGTTGGGGGCACCTCCATAGGTCACTGCGAGGACGTGGCTTTTTCGCCGCATGGGAGAGCTATGGGAGGATTTTGAGTGTTGGAGCGACGTGATCGGGCTTGTGTTTCCGGGTCATACTGGCAGTGGTGTTTAGAATAGACCACAGTGGGTCAATGGTGGAGACAGGAATATCAGTTATGAGGCTATTATAAATCATCCACGCAAGAGATTAAGACGGTTTGGAATAAGACTACAGCAGTGGAGGTGGTAAGAAGAGGTGAGCCTTGAGATATGTCTTGACAGCTGAGCCGCCAGCATTTGCCCCTGTGTGGGAAGGAGAGGTGCTGGTACAACACCCAGCCTTCCAGCCGGAGGAAGATGGACGGCCCTCACCTGAATGTGGAGAAGCGAGAGGAGCAGTGCGGAAGTGCGGAAGTGCGGAGAGGTAGGTGGGGAAATGAGGAGTTTGGTTTGGGGCTAGTTTTGAGATATTAGCCATCCAAAGGAGACATCAGGTAGGCAGCTGGAAATAA